ACACACACACACACACACACACACACACACACACGTACACATGTCATTTTTCAGAAAGACCTCTGTTGTAGCATATTCTCCCCAAGCTGTGTTCTGCATCTTTCGTCTTTGACTAGAAACTCTTGTCTTAAGAGATTGCCCCTTCTTTGCATATTGTCCCCCTTTGGGGATGGACCACCGTTGGTTTTATCATTCCCCTATGGATGGGCATTTAGTAGCTTTTAATTTTCTCTAATTACAATGGTGGCTGTCCTGAGAGGTCAGAAATGGGGAGATCTACAGCACCTACCTGGGCCCATCGAGTCAACTGAATGAGTTGATCCCAGTGAAGCATTTAGCGCTATGCCTGGCACGTGGTCAGGGTTCAATCCCTATCGGCTCTTATTGGCACGCATTCCATTTCACACATGTGCAAGCTCTTGGTAGGATAAATTCCTAGTGGTGGAATTACAAGGTCAGAGGGTATCCAGTTTTGACAGATATTGCTAAATTGCCCTTCATAAAGCGTATATCCGTTTACGCTCCCAGTGCGGAGCGCAACAAGGCCTCTTGCTCCCCTCACTTACCAACGCACTGCGCGTTCCAACCTTTTCTGAGCCTGGCCAACCTGACAGGTGACAAACGTGATCTCGGTGCAGTTTGAATTTCCATTTCCCTAATTATGAGCACACTTGAGCATCTTTTCATATGGTTCAGAGCCATCTGTATAGCCTTCTCCGTGGCAGCGATTACTTGAACATGATGTCAAGGTGAAAGTCTTGCTTCTTCCTTTCTGGCAATCTCTCCCAGCCTTTGTGTATCTGCTTCTCTCCCATTCCTCTCCTGGTGTCACAACGTCTTCCCAAAGCTGGATTCAAATTCCTGGGAGGGTTGTGCCAGATCTAGGAGCACCGGCCACACGCGGCAGTGGTCGGAGCCCACAGTCCTGGCCAAGCCAGGCTTGCTCTGCTGCCGGGAGCTGGGCCTGGACTGCCAGAGACAACTTCCGGAGGCAACAGGGCCTCGTTCATTCCTGAGCACTTTGAATGAATGAATGAGCCAAGTGTTTCTTCCTCAGAGTCTTCCCTGACTCTGCTTCCCGGGACTAGCTGGTGCTCCCAGAGGTATGCCCTCAGTGATCCTTGTGTTTTTCCTTCATAGCAGTTATCCCAATTGTCATCTACTTAATCGGGCCACTGGTTGTGTAGGGTCTGTCTCCTCTTTGCCAAAGCATTGGCAAACTTGAGAGTGGTGACTGACTGTGTCTGTCTTGTTAGCATGAGAATCGTACTGACCCAGTAAATATCGAATGGATGGATGGATGGATGGATGGTTGGGATGGAGATGGATGGTAGCCAGGCGAACAGGTGGATAGATGAGTACCAAGGTGCATGGATAGAGGTATAGTGTGTGGGTAACTGAGTGAATGGAAAAATTGTTGGACACCTGGGTGGGTGAACAGGTGGGTAGATGGGGGGAATGGATGGGTAGATGAATGAATGGGTAGGTGGGGGGAATGGATGGGTAGATGAATGAATGGGTAGATGGATGGATGGTTGGATAGATGAACAGGACAGATGAATGAGTGGATAGATGAAGAGCCCACCAGGCTAAAAGAACGTCCTATCTCTCCTTCAAAGGGACATCAAATTAAGCACAGTGTGTCATACACACATGACCCACCTCCCTCCCTGCCCCCCCCAATCTGAGCTGGGAAACAGACTGTCAGTGGAAGCTGGTCAGGCAGACCCTGGGCGTGCCCAGAGGTTAGAGCTCTCCACTCAGACAGATGCATTTGCCCAGCTAGTCACTCCCCACGTATCTCTGGCATGCCTCCTGCCAGGCGATGGGGCATCAAGGAAAGGGCACTTTGAACACGGAGTCAGAAACTTGGCTTATTTAGAAGATTTCTTTCCAAAGAGAAAAGTCAGAATGCAATTGGCTCTTGGTCACTATGAGTTTGTTTTGTTTTGAGTATTGATAATGTAAAGGAAAGAGGGCAGGAGAATGATGACTCCTGTTGATTTTGTGCTGTTTCCATCCTTCCAGACACCTTGTGGGCAAACAGTGACCCTCTATTACAGAGACAGAGGTGGGCTCAGCAAGGAGAAAGGACAGACTTGCCTGAGGCCCCCCTGCTCCTCAGCAGCAAAACCAGATTCCAACCCAGAGCCCTGGATTCCAGAGGCCAGGACCTTTCCCCCAGGATGCGGCCTCTTGCTCTGAGATGTCCTCAAGGCTGCATTAAAAGATTAGAGCCCTTTGCCCGTAAATTCCTAGGAGCGTGCTGTGGCCTGCGCAGCTCAGCCTGTGTGCATCACCTCCAGGGAATAAACGAACAGCCGAGCTGGGATCGCACTCAGCACCTCTGCTGACTCCTCCATCCGTGCATTTACGCATCAGGTGCTTTCTGAGCACCCACAGCATCCCAGCACTAACTTTGCAACTCCTAGCAACATGTTTCTTTGCGGCACTGACCCCCCATGTCCTCTGTCACCCAGGAACGAAAATGCTTGCCCTGAGCGGCTTGCAGGCTCTTCGATACAGTCGAATGAGATGACGTGTATTCTGTGCGTGGGTTCTGAAAAGCATAGCGTGTTATGCCAATACTCAGTGTAAGTGTTTAATTCTAAATCTAGACAAAGCTGGCTGGGTGTATGTGATTCAAGAGGATCTGTGGTTAGGGCTGTGTGTGTGTGTGTGTGTGTGTGTGTCCCTTACCTGATAGTAGCCCCACTTTCAGTAATGTCGTTTTCACAATCGAGTGCTATAAACATCTCCATGTGTGACCAGATAAATAGAATGTGATGGGTAAGAGTATTCGCTATGGAGGCAGACACCTCTTGTATCAGTTACCCATTGCTGCCTAACAAATGACCCCAACACTCCGTGGCTGAAAGCAACTAGCATTTATCATCTTACAGTTTGCATGAGTCAGCAATCCAGCAGCCCAGCACAGCTGGGTCCCCTGCTTCAGAGTCTCTCCCAGGCTGCAGTCAGGACACCAGCCAGGGTACCGTGGGGAAGGATCTGCCTCCAAGCTCAGTCATGTGTGGGTGGCAGGATTCAGTTCCTCGTGGGCTGTAGGACAAAGGGCCTCTGTTCCTCACTGGCTGGTGTGGCCAAAAGCTACCCCGGCTTCCTTGTCACACTGACTTCATCAGAACGAACATGTGAGAAGCCCAAGAAAGAGTGCGAGCAAGAGGGAAGGCCCCACCTGCTGTAACCTAATCTCAGAAGTGACACCTCATCCTCTTTACTGCATTCCGTTGGCTTGAAGCAAGTCACTAAGTATAGCCGCACTCAAGGGGAGGGGACGGGCCACACAGGATGTGAATCCCAGGAGGAGGAGATCACTGGGAGTCCTAAGCAAAGTCAGCCTACCGCATCCCCGAAGTTGAATTCCAGCCTCACCACTTAGCAGCTGTGTGCCCTTGCACTGGTGGGTCTCCCTCTCTGAGTCTCGCTGGTCTGTGAGCTGTCGTGAGACTGGACGTAAAGGACGCGAGCGGTGCCTAGCACAGCATCTGTGCTCAATGAGGGAGAGGGCCCATGATCATTACCTGTACTCTTCACCTGAACAATCCACCCAGACCTGGCCTGGCTGCTTCCTTGTTTCTCAGCTCACACCGAACACCAAATGCTGGGCTGGGAGCTGCCCCTCTCCCATCCAGAGCCTCCTCTCTCACACGGGGGTTTAGCTTCTGTGCTTGTGGGGGCTCTTGTCCCCAGCCCTCACTTTACGCACCTGCTCCGAAACTTTGAGCAAGACACGGGGAGTCTGGATGGAATTCAGGGGGAGGGGAGGGTGGCCCATCTGACCCCAGGGGCTCCTCACCCGCCTCCGTGCTCCAGGATGCACAGCCAGGGAACCATTAATGACCCAGTGCCACCTGCCTTCCCCACTGACCATAAACCCACCCGATCCTACACTTCCCAGCCCAGAAGGGGCCCCTTCTTGCCAGAAGGGAGAGGCCAGGTCTTAACCATGCCGGTATCTCCAAAATCTCCCACCTGACCTACCCAGGAAGGCATTCCTTTGTCAGCTACATCTACAGCGTCCCTACTCTGTGCAGGCTCGGGGCTGGGCTATGGGAACACAACCACAGTCGCTGCCCTCATGAAGTTTACCACCCAAATGACAGGGCAAATGGTAAACGAGCAGTTAGAAGAGTGGTTCTCAAAGTGTGGCCCAGGTACCCCCTGGTTTCATTTTCATGTGCTTGTGTAGTCTTGGTTTCAATTTCTAATACGGTAAATACAGGCAGATTTGACCCACATATACAAAAGCTCTTTGAGATCATCAGTGATTTTTTAAGACTGTAAAGGGGTCTTGGGACCAAAACATTTGAGAACCACTGGGTGAGATGTGCGAAAGCCTCAGGGAATGTTTTTTTGAAGGAAGGAATGAAAAGCTGGCTCATTTCCCGTTCACCTGACTCAAGTATTGAGTTTCCCGTGATCAGGGCTTGTGTTGCGTTCTTCTCCGCAAGTACCTCCTTTTCCCGGGGAACAAGGTTAAGTCTCATTCATTCGTTGAGCAGACACTTCCTGAGCATCTGCCACGTGCTCAGAACCGTGTTGGGAGGGTGGTCCCTGCCCTCCCGAAGCCCTTAATGCAGTGAACAAGACAGATGAGTTTACGGATCATTCCAGAGGCGTGCATGTGATGCCGCGAGAGACACCCTCAGGAAACTGAGGCATTGGGAGGCTGAGTCACTTGTCCAAGTGATATGGCCAGAAAGTAGTAGAACTCATTGATATTTCCAGTCTCCCTGCCTTTCTCTTAACTCCTGAGCTCTGTTCTCAACCCATCAACTAAAGGCATCTTTTTAAAATGCAAATCCTGTTCAGGTCACTCCTCTGCTCAAAGCCCTACCAAGGCTCCCCACTTCTTTCTGAATAAAAGCCAAAGGCCTCATGATGCTCACAGAGCCCTATGCAATCTGTATCCCTCCATAGCTTCTCTGACCTCATCCCCCACCTCCCACCCTCCAGCCCCAGGCTCAGCTGCACAGCAGACATACTCCTGCCTCAGGACCTTTGCACAAGCCATTCCCTCTGCCTGTAGCACTCTTTCCCAGAGATCCTCAAGGCTCAGTCTTCACCCAAATGTCAGTATTCAGTGAAAGTCCTTCTGGTCCCCCTTGCTGAACACAGCAGCCCTCCCAAGCACTCCCTAGCCCCTTCCCCCAGGCTTTTCTTCTCAGCACTTATCACTGATGTACTCTACATTTTGGAGATTCATGGGGCCAGTCATCTCCCCAAGTAGAGTGAAAGCTCCACGAGGGCAGGGGCCGTCTGTTTTGTTCACTGCTGTGTCCCCAGCTCCTGGGACTGAGGCTGGCACATAGGAGACACTCGCTGCAGTGTCCCCAATCGTCCTGCTTGCTGTCCCCACAGCACGTGTTCTGCGAAGAGTGCCTCTGCCTCTGGCTGGACCGGGAGCGCACCTGCCCGCTCTGCCGCTCAGTTGCCGTGGATACCCTGCGCTGCTGGAAGGACGGGGCCACTTCGGCACACTTCCAGGTGTATTAGGGCTGAGGGACGAGGAATCCCAGCTCCCAGGCTCACTCTGGGAGCCAATGGATGGCCCACGTGATTGGGTCCGGCTCTGCGGACTTCCTGGAACACAGGCCTCAAGCATTTACGATTGTGCCTCCTGCCTTTCTCCACCTCCTTCCCTAAAGCCAGGCCCCTGTCCTCCCGACCTTCACCTTCCTCTTCCGTTCTGTGGCACGGTGTGTGCGTCCTTGGTGTGGCCGTTCTTCCCCTACAAGCCTCCTGACCCAGATCTGGCCTCCTCCCGCGTGGGTCTCCTGCCCCCTCCAAGGGAAGGGACCGGTGATAGACAGGTCCTGCCTGGTGTTATTTTAACTCTTGGTGACCTGATGCTGCGCCCCGGAAAGGGCCTGGACATCACTGCCTCTCCCCAGGCGGTGCAGGTCTGCAGATTAATCACTGTGGAGCATTTCCCAAATACAAGTGCCGGGCCCCACCTTGTCCTTGCCATAATTGAGTGTACCAAACACATCGTGCCAGCTAAGCATCCTGCTTGGATGACCTCTTGTAATCCTCTCAACAGCCCTGGCGTGGAGGTCCTGTTGTTTCCTCTGTTTTACAGAGGAGGAAACTGAGGCACAGAGCTCCATGTGGTAACTTCCTCAGGGTCACCCAGCTAGCAGGGGTGACTGCTCTGGCTTCAGAGCCCACCCTCTCAACCACCATGCTCACCCGCTGCTCAGACACTGCGGGCGTGGGGCCCAGCAGACATGGCTTTTTAGGCGCACGAGAGGTGATTCTGATGCCCATCCGTGGCCCAGGTGCATAGCACATTTGATTTGGGCCCCACTGAGGATGCCAACAGTGAGCGCTGGCTCTGGAAATCGAGCTGTGGCTCGATTCATGGAAAGAGTTGGTCTTTAAAATTGCAATTTTGCTGGGCTCTGGCTGGGATGCTCAATCGCATTTGGGTATCAGGAATGACCAGCTTTGGTCCCGATGCCGATATCACTGGGTCACCACACCTGTCTTCATTTCTCTCCTCCTCCTTCTGCTCTTCTCCTGTCCCTCACTTGGGTCTCAGCTTGTCTACAGTGCCTGTGGCCATCACCTTCTCCCCTGGTGGCCCTGAGAGCAAAATGAACGATCCACATTACGGGTTTTTCCACAAGCCAGGGTAGTGGTATAGAATGCAGTAGCAGTCAGGGTTTCTGTAATCTCTATAGCAGAGCTGCTGATCTCTATAACAGAACAGCTTCTCCACCTGTGAGACCCTCCCTGCTTTGAATGTGGGACAAGATGGGACAGGTGATCACTTAGAAGCTTCTGGAATCTTGCCTGCCCCTAACCCTCTCCCCACTCTGTTCACTCACCGTCAACCTCAGCACAATGGGCTGGTGCCAGTGGCGTTACAGAGAAATCAATCTTGTGGCTCGTGAGCAGATTAACAACAAAGCCCCAGCAGAAATGGTGGGAGACTGGCTGCCACCTTGCTCTCGGCCAGTAATAACAAGCCCACCCCATCCCTAGTAGTTTCAGGACGTTTGCCCCCGTGTGCTATCAAGCCAGGGCCTTTTCCTTTGCCTGACAGCCCTGGCTCTTTCCTGGTACCCAGCAAGACATCTCTTCCAGGGCAGCATGGCATCTTTCAAGCTCTGTTACTATGGCAATGGCTACGATGTTACAATCCCACTTGCCTGGATAATCAAGTCGGAAGGGGAAGCGGAGGGAAAGGGGGCCGGGTGGATGCGGCTGTTCTGGTCCCCCAGCCTTGAGGAAGAACCAAAGGGAAGCAACAGGAGCTTCTTTGGCTGGTTTTTATCAGAAAGATCACCCTGCCTGCAGATGCCATCAAAGAGACACAAGAAATCGGAGCTGGAGAAGATTTATTAACATGCTAGCTTGTGACAGAGCGGAATTCTGATTCCAAACTCTGCATGACTTTGGGAAGTCACTTCACCTCCCCACAGCCATCTCCAGGATGATGAAACCTTGTGTATTATCTGCTGGAGCCAGGGACACTAACAATGTAGAGTAGTGGGGAAGGCACCTGTGGTTTTGCCAGTTTTACTCATGCCACCAAAAAAAAAAGAGAAAAGAAACCCACACATCTCTAACAATCTTCAAATAATGAGCCATGCCTCTGGCGTTATAAACAGTGTCACAAGTGGGGGATACTTGGGGGCAGGTGGGATGATTTCATTCAGGATTTTACTTATTCATTCCCTACCCTCTGGGGGAAAGTTCCATCTGGAGGTTTTCTTTTGGATGGGAGGAACTTCTGCCCTAAGGAGAAACAGCGGCCAGTGGAGAGTCTCCCAAACGTTAGGCTGCATAGGTTCCGCACCACGAGGGTAAAAGCAGCCAAGGGTTGTCACTGGGAAAGAAGAACATTCTCCATTGCCCATCCTGGCTCTGCAACTCCTTTGTTACAAGCAGGATTGATCGCATATTGTGTTGGAGTATCCTGCTCTTATTTTATGATTCACTGTCTCAAGTTCCTGAAACTCTTGGAAATGGCCCTCTTAGTGTAAAAGATCTTGGGCATAATAAATGTGAGAATAAAAAGGCAAGCTTTGGACCTGGATGGAACAGGCTCATTATCTTCATAAGAGGAGAATGTGAGAGATGCCTGGAGGCACCAAGCGCCTAAGACTTTGGGTTGGAAGGAGGACATGTAAAGTGAGTCCTGGAATCGCTTAGTAATTTTGCTCTGGGCTGAAAAGAGCTGTCTTTGGCGTTTTTAATGTTCCCTTAAGTTCCCTTCTGCCAATAAATATCATCTGTCGATGAAACTTGGGTTCGTGGTCTTGAGTCTGTTTGCCTCTTGAAGCCGGGTGGGACTGTTGGAGGAGAAACCAAACCAGAGGGTGACTTTCAGAGAAGTCCCGGCTCCACATGGCCCCTCCGAGCTCTAGAACATCAGCTGCATTTCAGAGTTTGTCCCACCCTGAGGTTTTTTTACTCACACACTATCAGTCCTTGGAATATGGGTTGCTGGTTGAGGAGGCCCCGAGTCTCTGATGGTGCCAGGTGCCACAAAGCACACGCAGGAGCAGGATGGGGATGCAGAACTGGTAGAAAGGCTCAGAAGGGATCTGGGCAGGGGACCCGCAGGGCCCACCTCAGTGGTTAACCAGACGACAGACCCAGAATGTACATGCCAGTGATTCAAGACGGGTTTGCCTGGGTGTCAGATTATGATGGGTATTTTAAAATGTAAATTAATAGCATTAGGTGACAACTCATGCTTCTCGGGACATTGTTATGAAACCAGTCACAAAAACACTGTTGGGCAGAACTTTTTGGTTACAATTATTTGAAAACCAACTCAACATGGCTTAAGTAAGAGAAAGACTTTATTTGGCTCATGTAACAGTGTGGGCCTCGAGTATAGCTGGATTCAGGGGCTCCGGTGATATTAGAATCATGTCTTTCCATCCCTCAATTCTGTTTTCCTCTGAGACAGTTTCATTTCCAGGCAGTCACATCCCATGTGGCAGTAAGAGGTCCTCCAAAAGCTCTATACTCATGTTCTACCAGCTTATCAACCCCAGCAAAGAGCTTCTGCTTCCCCAAAGCTCGAGCAGGAGTCCTGAGGTAGACTTGTTAGTTTGGCCCCAAACCAGTCCCTTTAGCCTTTGGGACTTGAAGCCCTGCTGGTCAGGCCTGCATCAGGTGTTGAACCCTGGCAGTGGGGACAGAGCTGGGCAGGAGGATAGGGTCAATGCCTCTAAGTCACATGGACTGAGAGTGGGGAAGGGGTGGGTCCCCAAGGCCAAAAGAAAGCATCTATTATCTAGAAAAACAACCTGTCCTCAGCCCACCATTCTTAGGAAAAGACTACAACTTGATCGCTCAGAGCATCTTAGACCAGGTGAATGTAGGTGAAAGAGAGACCCATGTACCCATGGTTGGAGACCTAGGTCTGCACGGCCATTGGCTTATCTGCATGGCACCATGCATAAGTGATGGTTCTGTGTACTGATCTTGAACTCTCAGGCAAGTTCCCTCAACCTCTTGGCCAACCCAAGGGTACTATTCAGGCCAATCCTCCCCTTGGGGAGTTCTCAGAAATAAGACAGAGAACGGAGTTGAGTGTGTAGCCTTCTGTCCCAGGGAAGGTTGGGGTGCACAGCCAGATCCTCCCATGATCTTTGGGGACCAACCTTTCAAAAGGAAATGAAAACACAAAGGCCTTTGGCTGGAAGCACACAACCAGTTTTTTAATAAAGTCATTACAAATATGTACAAAGCGTCTCCAAGGTATGAAATTCCTCTTACAAAAGAGCAGAACAAACCAGCAAGGTTAGAACCCAGAACGGAATGTTCCCAAGCTTATTGCCTCTCTGGCTGAGCCAGAGGCCTCACTGAGGTTCCAAACACCCCCACAACCATCCCTGCCACATACACACATAGGCTCCTGGGCACTTATAGTGCAAAAGACTTAAGGGTTCAGGTGGGGGAGGGGACAGGTTAAGAGGTAAGAAAAGCTTCCCATGTCCTAGGAAGTAAGTTGAACAGGCCCTGTTTACAAAGTAGATGCTTCTCCCAGGGACCTTATGGAAATTAAGGACACAAACAGCAGGGAACAAATACATAAAATCCCCAACTAAACCATCCAGCCTGTCCTGGAGTGTCCCCAAATGCAACACTCCTTACAGTGGATGTGAGTCAGGCTCCCTTGCTCCCTGCTGGGCCCCAGGCTGTGCTTGCCCTTGAACTAGCAATGCCCTGGAGCAGCTCAGGAGGGAATCCAGTGTGGCAGGGCAGTTAGCTCATGAGTTTGGGGGTGGGTCACACAGACCTGAGTTCAAATCTTGGCTCAGCCACTTCACTCTGTGTGTGTAGCCTTAGGCTAAGTTGCAAAACTTCTGAGTCTCAGCTTCCCCAACTGTAAAATGGGAATAATACCTACTGTATTCCAGAATGGGTATGAGGAATAACGGAGGGGAAACGTGTAAAACACTCAGCGCAGGGCTGGTGAGCCCGCTGTAGATGGTGGCTTTCATTACCATGTGAAGCAGCAAGAACCA